ACAAGTGAGGGGGTACTAAAGATTGACAGGGGAATGTCTTCTATCTCTGATGCTGGAATGTCTCCAAAGTAAGAAGAAGAACACAATAGAAGAACAATGAGGAAAAAGCTCATTCTACACAAAAAGGGAACTGAAAATTGATAGGGGAATGATGTCTATCACTGACAGTGGAATGTCTCAAATATAAGAAGAAGACCAAATGAGAAGAAAATAAAAAGAGCAAAAAAATTTAACTTCTACATAAGGAGATGGGCATTGAATTTGAGTTGGGGATGCCACCTACAAAAAATAAGGGAATGCCTCAGCTATAAGAAAGTTAGAATAAGATAGCAAAAAGAAAAGTAACATATACAAAAACTCTACACAAAGAGAGGGGCCTTAAATTTTAGTAGGGGATGTCACCTATAAAAAATAGGAGAATGTCTCATTTGTAAGAAAGTTAGAAGGAGAAGGGAGAAGGAGAATTGGTGCAATTTTCATCCTAACCCAAGGGGGTATTTATAGGATGAAAAGAGAGGGAATTTATTTGAAAAAGAGGGGGAAATTTTTCCTCCAATCCATTTGAATTTCAAAAAATACTTCTAGAAACTTGTTTTAGAATTTTCTAGAAATTTTCAGAATTTTTCAAGCCAAAAAATGACCATTTTTATAATTATTATAAAAAAAAAAATTGTCGTCCTCATGCCGAAAAAAATAATTAAAGAGAGGCGCAGCTCGCTGACCCCCTTTTAAAAATGAATTAATGTGCCCACATTCAAAAAATAATAATTTAAAAATCAAACGACACGCCCCTTCGCCCCTTAGCTCGCGAGCCAACGCGGGCTACCACTGGCGGCTGGCCGGTTCAGCTGTCTACGTGTGTCTGACCCCATTTTTGGCCCGAACGGCCCAAATCAGACATTTTTTGGGCCCCCAGAAAGGTTTTTTAATGTTTCGGATCCAATTTTGATACTATGGAGCTCAACAAAACCTCTATGATCAAATTTGAACCATTTTAAATTTTGGAAGGCAATTTTTTGTGATTCAGCCAATGTGAAATATTGAAACAAGTATTTTCTGACTTTTGGAGCTTATTTAAGTAGGGGGCAATTGATCTATCACAAAAAAATTATCTTGATTAAGCACGAATCTTGAGAAAAAAATCAAGTTGGAAACTTTAAAAATTAAATATGGGATCATTTTAGCTTTAATTTTTGAAAACTTATAGTCAAACTGAACGACTCGGAAATATGAACCCAATGACACCAAATTTGACCCAATCCAAGCTCAAATGATTCTAAATCAAAGACTCAAAGTGCATTTGTAGGGTTCAAAATATAATTTAGATTACCAAACAGTTTCCAAAAGTGACAGGCTTATAGTGGAATTAAGTGGCTCGATGAGAAGAATCCAATCAGCCCAAGATCTCCAAATTTTGATGTCAGTAAGGCATTCAAATACCTAATAAATCGTTTATGATCAAAGGATTCAACATCGGTCATCCATTCAAACCACTCACAATTTACCTTTGATCTTCCTACTTTTTACTGGTCATGCCACTTTCAGAAAACCATAAATAGACAATTCATTTCTCATAACAAGGACCCAAAAGGGGGAGGGAGAAGGAGGCCCAAGTAAGAAGAGAAGAGAAGGAAGCAAGGAAAAGAAAGAAGAGACTTCTCCTCGGCCAGCGCCAAACTTTCACCCGGCAGCCTACTGACGCCATAGTTCTGCCCGAATGCCATCTAACTCTGGATTTCTCCCTAGCCGCTAGCTAACGTTGGACTTCTACCTGACGTCAGACCTCCGCTCATCGCCAAACTCCTACCCTACGTCGGACTTCCGCTCCTCGCTGAATTTCTACCCGACGCCGGACTTCTACTCGACGTCAAACTTCTGCCCGTCGTCAAACTTTCACCGGACTTCTATCTGACACTGGACTTCTATCAATCAACATACTTCTACTCAACTCTAGACTTGCGCCCGTTGCCGAATTCCTATCCGACACCAGACTTTTTCCTGTCACTAGAATTTTGTCGGGCTTCTACCCGACACCATACTTCTGCCCGTCGTCGAACTTCTATCCAATGCTAGACTTATGTCTATCATTGGACTTCTCCCTCACGTTATCCTTCTGACCTCTATCGCCTGCCGACTACGGTCCTTCAGACTTACGTCACCTACCAACTATAGCCTTTCGACCAAACAAACATATCAAAAGTGATTCTTTGTATTCCTACCATGTAATGTACTCTATATGATATACATCAAGCTAAGGCCTTCCCCCAAGGAAGGTCCTCCTTTGTAATCAACTACAAATACAAGTGGATTCATTCAAACGGGGCTAGGCCCCGTGGTTTTTCCTCTTTTTAGGGTTTTCAATATAAAAACATTGGCGTCTCTTATGAATATTGCTACACTCTCTCTTTTCTAATTACGTACTAGATCTTCGTACAAAGCTAAAACATTAAAATTTATATTTCTCTACCGCCGCTAATACTGTAGGCTGCAACAATATCAAATCATCAATATTATAATTCTCTTCTATGCCTTAATTTCTATCTCACATGTATTGAGCTAAAAGCTAATGGCTCTACGACTACTAATCGTGCAAGGGAAATCGATATTTCTTTGTGGGATCGAGTAGCAATATCACTTGAAATAAAAGACTGGAGATGTTTAATTATCTTGAATTAAGGGATTCAATATCATTTACAATGCCAGATAGAGGTAAAGAAAGAAATTACATAGATGAAGATCAAGTGACACATGCGCATTGTTTCATTTTTTGGAAATTTTGTGTAGAAAATTTTTCTCTTTTTTTGGCTGCCAGTTTTGTTGAAATCTCTCTACCTTTTATTAGTATTTTTAGATAATATTTTAACATTTTTTACTCTTCTTATACTTTATTTGGGATAGTTTTCTTGCATATTTCTAAAACAGCTTTCTAGTACAAAAAATTCTTTAACTTGAAAATTTTATACTTAAAAGCTGCTTTAGAAAGTATTAAAAATGTTCCAATCAAAACTTTAATTTGCACTCTCTCATACATTATGATAATAGATTTATCCGTGCTTTCTCACCCATTGATATATTTGTATATCATATTTATGTGTGAGATACTTATTTTGTTTCACCTAAATTAATCATATAATTCTCTTTGATGCTCTTAATGAGAGGTGATTTGAGCACTTACATCATAGTCATAGCATATTCAAGTGTATCCACATGATTCTTGCCTTTTATGTACTACTTTGAATATTCTAATAATTAAGATGTTGAAATATTGAATAAGTTATGTGGCTATTTAATTCTAATATTGGGCTCTCTTAACATTAATAATGCACCTAACTTTTGTCATGAACTGAAACAACTATAATCTCCTAAACAATAAGAGGGCAACCTTAGTGGGGCATACATTAAAATTTTATTTCTTAATTTGCCTATCAATGTATAGAAAAATAAGATATTACAATAAGAAATATCACGTGTAAGTGAAAGATTAAACAAAATGAACATTATTGATGAGTTTAGAAAAAAGACAACCCATACTTATGTGGATCCATGATCTTAATTAAACTATTCATTAGCGCTTCATTTGTCCTCTTCACTTAATTGTCTTCTAGAGGTTTCATTTCAGCTTAGTAAAGTCATTATATTATGTTTAGAGATGATAATATTTAGGGTTGCTTGAAGAACTTTCCCCACTACTATTGCTAAATGTTATATGAATCTATATATGTGACAAAATATATGTTATGAGATTCTGAAGTAAAATATATTAGGATAAACTTCAATGATCATAAATTTGAGCAAGATCAATACAATTTAAAATATCATATACAGTACTAATCTCATTTGCTCTGCATCAAATCTTATTAAAAAATGCAATATTAATCTTAGCACAAATTCAATGATTTTAAAATCCATCATAATATATTTTATATCAGAATATCTTAGCATAAATTTATATAATTTCATCAAGCAATGATCTTGATTTTAGACAACACAACAAAAATGAAATATGCAAACACCCTAGCACATAAATATCAAATAGACCAGATACTTTGAGAATTAATCAAACAAATTACCTTAAAGAGGATGATGATGACAAGTTGAGGAATATCAAACACCAATACATTGTTTGTATATGTAAATTTTATGCATATAAATTAAGGCATATAAAATCATACTTTCTTCACTTTATATGCAACATTTCTCTGTAATTGTAGATAAGGTGTTATGCCACTTTTATTAGCCAACAAGTTGAAGTACACAACTTAGGAAGATTGCAATGAATAGAAAAATTGTTGTGAAACTTATTTTTTGATTAATTATTGTATGTCTTTAGCATTTTAAAATATGAATATTGCAATTACTCATAATGATTTTATAAAATTTATATGCTTACCACATAATTCACTGATCTAAATTTTTATAATTTCTTGTAAAATTATTTAGTCAATATATATACATACTAAAATATATGCATAAAAATATTATTCTATTTAAAAAATTTAATTTATTAATATATTTGTTGCTTAAAATTTTAAATATTATATAAATAAATACAAAATATTAAATAAAAACTATGTAGCATTTATATCAATCCCCCTAATTTTATTTAATGATTTGTGAGCATTTTTAATTCTCAACCCTTTACAACACAATGATATAACCAAATAGGCACAATCAACATTAAGTTGACACTATAACTCAAACATAAAAGTCTCAACCAAACGAACAATTATTATGTCCTCTGACCGGATACAGAGGAACATCCGGTCATAGACAAAATCCCGCCTATACCGAGGTGTACCGAGTTTTTCCAAAAAAACTCGGTGCACCTCGGTATAGATGAGATTTTACCTACAACCGATTGTTCCTCTGCATCCTTACACCGAACCAAATAAAAGTTCCAACCAAACAGCGCCAACAACTTTCAATAACTTTTCATAACTTCTCTGACAACAGCTTATCACCTAACTTCTAAAACGACCACATAAATTAACATTTTAAAATATGCAAATGAGTATGTTAATCAGGTAATGAGCAGCTCAAAAAGAATCTGGATTACAGATCAGCAACAAATAAGCTGAAGGCGACAAAAAGAAGTAATATGGAATGGCATCAAACTATTCAAAAGAAATGGAAGCTAGCAATAACAGAAACTTATTAAATAATAAGCTAATAAACTACAAGTAAATATTTCAGTAAATAATTAAGGAAAAAAAGCAGCTATGCCTCAACTCAACCCTCCAATGCTAAATAGAGTGGTTCTCCATGGTGAATGTACCAGCTTAAAGGATCAGTGTTTACTATTACTAAGCTTGTTTTTAACTTATTTTCGATCTGAGAGCTTAATAATGCCAGAATCAACCAAAGGCTGGAGCTCGGGTTTTGTTAGATCCCTCACACTGATTTCTGATGATTCAAGGAATGCTGAAACAACCTTGCAACTGTAACGAACAGCAAATTAAATTTAATCAATGCCTATGATTTGGGATTTTGGTGATAAATTATTAAGCAAGGTTTCCTTTAAGACGGCTTTCTTACTGCTTCATAAAGCAAATTTTTATTATAAAAATTAAAATTTTTATACTAAAAAGCTGTTTTAAGAAGCAGAATAAAAGTCGTCCCAAACAAACCTAAGTGTGTGTTTTTTACCTGTGACCTTTAGCCCACTTCGCACTCTTTCCTTCCAAAGCCATTTTCCATAAGGTTTCAGCAAAGGAAGGAGAATCCAATATAAGTTTTCTGATGGTCCTGCTGGAGTGGAAGTTCTCAAAGATGTGGTCAGCTTCAGATTCTTCAGACTTGGGAAAAGCAGCGACTGTAGCTATGGCTTTATGCAGATCAGCTAATCTGTCACTTAGAGAATGAAGTATGCCATCACTTCCACCAACAGCAACCTGCAAGAAATAAAGCAAGAAGTTCACTACAGATTCTGATCTTATTGGAAGAGAGTTAGAAAAAAAAAAGACTGGCATAAAGCTCTTGCTCAATCATTTGGCTAAGAAAATATTTCCCATCCACGAAAATTTTTTCATGAGTACAAATAAAATCAACATCATTCATCCTTACCAACACAAATGTAGTTTGGTATTACATCAAACAAAAAGTACAAAATTTCACTGCGTTCATTTATGAACAATCAATGACCGGTTTCATCTTTTGCGCATCATTGACTATTATACAAATAGATGCATGTATCAATGGAATGGATGAAGATGGCATTCTACTATAATTAGAATGTTCAAATTTTATGCAAGTTGAAGCTCATAGCAAAACTTTTTACTAATTCATTAACCAAAAAATTTGAATATTTTAATGCCCCAACTTCACAAAATTTCATACTCCAATTTAACCCTTAGTTGTTTAATTCTGAACCATTCTGCAGCAAAAAAATAGAAGTTTCAACAATAAGAAGCCAGCCTATGAATACATAGGTCAAAAGGCCTTAGCAGAAAAGAAATTAATTATAACTGTTCAAATTATCAAAATTTTTCTATACAAAATCTTTAGTTAACATAAAGGTTAAATAAGTAAGATAGATGCATTGCCAGAAGACAGGTCATTCTGCCAAAATTTTCCAACAATGTAAAAGGCATATTTGATGTGTATTTATGAATACAGCATGAAACTAATTATCCAGGGTTCAATAATAAGCCAAGTTAGAAGAAGCCCAAAAGAAAAATGAAATACATATATAAGACATGTTGATAATGCGGCAACAGCTTCCCCCCAAAAGCACCACATGCATGAATATTAAAGGAAAATAAGCAAAACAAACAAAAATTGAATCAACAACATAAAAAGATATTAAATCTTGCTGAAGGCAAATGAAGATGATTAACCAGCATTATCTCTAAATAATAGGAAAATGCACAAGGAAAAATCACTCGTTTATGGGTATAAATAAAAATGCAAAAGACATATGAAGCATACTCTCACTACTACTTGATAGAATAACAACAACAACAACAATATCAAGCCTTTGTCCCACTACGTGGGGTCGGCTACATGAATCATTTTTTTCCATTGTCTTGTTAAAAGTCAAATTCTGGTTTAAATCTAATAAAGAAAGATCATTTCTAATATTTTCTAACTAAGTCTTTTTACCTTTCTTAATATAAGTCAAATCTAATACATCTACTTTCCTAACCGGGTCATCGGAAGGTCGACATTTTATGTAACCAAACCATCTAAGGCGACTCTCTCTAATCTTATCTTCCACTGGAGCTACTCCAACCTTTTCACGTATATGCTCATTTCGTTTCTTATCTCTAAGGATAAATCCACTCATCCACATGAGCATCATCTCTGCCACACTTAACTTAGTATTATGATTCTCTTTTAATGGCCACCATAAGGCACCATAAAGCATTGTAGGTCTCACCACCATCTTGTAGAATTTTACCTTAAGTTTTAGGGGAACTTTTCTACACTAGTTCTATTACTACTTAAATTATACTTCATATATTCAGTTTTAGATCTACTCAAGCGAAAACCTTTAGACTCTAAGGTTGACCTCCATAATTCATGTTTACCTTCAACTCTATCTCTAGTAAAGAATATATCTAACAAAAACATCCTTTGAGAAATAAGGTAATATACCTATCTTAAGGGGAAAAAGCTCAAAATAATCCTCCAATTATTTGAATGTAGCCAATTTAGTCCCAAAGTATAACATATCCCTAGTTTTATCCATTGACCATAAAAAATTGATCCCAATTTAGTCCCTCATAGTCCACTTGGGATCAATTTCGTATAATCAAGAGACTAAATTAGGATTAATTGTTTATCTAAATTTTCAATCATTTTTATATAAGAAGACAATTTGAATCAATTTTGCATAGTCAAGAGACAAAATTGGAGCAATACGATAATCTAGATTAAATTTGCCACAAGTGAATAGTGAGGGCATTACTTTGGGCTTCTTCACTTATCTAAAAGAAAAACAATGATGTGCATTCAAAGTAAAGAAAGTGTTTTTTTTAGATAATTACCTCTGAAGAGCATCAAAAAGCTGTGCAAACAAAGTGAAACAGCATGATCACCCTATGTTTGTGAAGTTGCTTAAGTTTTTTACATTCTATCAATAAATGGATGAGTTCTCTACAAGTTACTAATTCTTTTTCCATAGCATATCCGCATCAATAAGTTGCCTTAAACAGAATATGCATATGAAATGGTCACGTAATTTGAGAAAGAGAAAAGAATCACCTCAAATATTACTTCTCTGCCAAAGTTTGATCGAAGTAGCTCATCAGCAGTGTCGATACAAGTCTCGATTAGACACTGAGACATTTAGCCAAATTTACCAATTAACATAAGCCAAGAAAGATTGTTTCAGACTTTACGGTAAGCAGATTGCAGTGATAAAGTCAAACATCTCAACCAATGACTTCCGCTACTGATATATAAAAGAAAAGAAGGCACCACACGTACCGCAACTCAACTAGTGAAAGAAGACGGGAGCAAGTTTGCTAGAGGAGAAAAATAACAAAACTTAAGAAACAAGTGCACTTGAGTAAATGATTGAAAAAACCATGTGTTTAAAAAGACAACGAAATCATTAAAATTGAAGTGCGGCAATGCTACCTCTAAATTAAAAGTTAAAAAGGATTAAAGATATAGATTTTCCGATATAAATGCATCAGCACGGCACTTAAACAGATAACAGCAGCATATAAGCTAAAAGATACAGAAACTGAAGAATTCATTACGCCAAGAATACAAAATCCACTTAGTTGGAAGGTCACAACCATCAAGGAAAATATCACAACCTATGCTTCTAACAGTATACAAAAAGAGTTAACGAAAGACATTTTGGATATAGTTCACAAGAGAACAGTAGAAAAAGCTTGCAGACGGAAAAAGATAACACAATTGAATGACTAGCAATACAATACATGAACTAATGAAGAAACCAGTAAAGTCCGAAACTGTGTGGAACATAACTGAAAATTATGACCTACAAGATGCATAGATTGAAGAATTGAGGATTATCCTACATATAACTACATGATAATAATCTCTTTTAAATGATCCATTCATTATCATTTAGATTTCTAATTTTTCTAATAATGCTATTATAAAAGGTGTGGTAGTGATTCTGTTGGCCCAATCTAATGACAGTATAAAATTCAAAACAAATAATTCGGGCACATGGACATGTTAACCTTATAGAATAACCCCTTCAAGTAGTAACAACTTTCTCTTGTTCCAAATTAATAGTGATAAAGAAATTTTCTTTCCAAAATACCATACTACATATTTTCCTTCAGCTTTTTTGATTCATTAAGCTCTGAACACATAAAACTTGGAAAAGCGGATAGTAGGGCCATCTCCATACGCAGACAGAAAATAATTCTGTTTTGATACTCGCACACTTGTTAGATTAAAGGGGAATGTCTCACCTCAGCCAGACCACTCTCCACCAATAATTCCTTTCTCCTTACTAAAGCTTCCTTCTTACCTCCCACAGCTGATTGCATGGTCTTCAAAGAATCATTGTACTTGTTGTTCTGAGTCGTTATGGCTTCTGTATCAATTTCTAATATCTTTTCTAGACCTGCTTCACTGGCCCCCTCTTCCTTCTCATCCTAATGTATGGGAAAATTTAGACCCGCTTTATAGTTTTATAATACCAACAAATGTATCAATGTTAAAACATTAAAACAATTGCCTGTGTGCAAAGAGAAGGTACGGTTGAATTAAGACAAGCTAGATCATCAGGGGTAAAATAGCGGTGGCACTGCGGATGGAGCAACAGCAATAATGGACGCCTTCCATTCTGGTATTTCATCAAAAAAACAAGCATTTTTAAGAAATATAAAAACGACTGTATATCAAATTGATGAATGGAATAGATTATATGAATTCACACCTTATCCAGAACAAGTTCTTTTAGCATAGACTGTAGCTCACGTATGATAATCTGAAATTGGACATGGAGGTTAAATCTAGTAAGTCTAGAACCCAGCAACTTTGAATGATATACTGACCTTTGTTACAAGCTTAGTGTCATCAACAACTGAAAGGATGCTGGAGAGCAGCTGTTGGTAAACACTAGATATGAGCATATAGAAAATCTGGGAAAAATATTCTTCAGATTCTAAAATAAAGAGGCAAAGAAGATATTAACAGTTTTGCATGAGTTAATAGAATGACGAATGTAAGAAAACAAGTAAAAAGAGCTAAAGGGAGTCTGTTGTATAGAAATTATTATTAATAGGATTAGACAAAACTCTAGGAAGCACGAATACTTCATAAAGCCATTTGTGTGTGTTGGATAGCATGCGTTCAACACGAAAAAAATATGTTTAATGTACATCATCAAAATTAGAGCCGTACAAGGACAGGACATACCGCCACATGGCTAAAACATACCTCAACACGGTCAGGTCATGTGTTTATGATGATTTATTTTTAAGTCAGCTTTGCAAACTAATTTTTTAATCAATGATCCTGAATGCTCTAGTGAAAAGGACATTAATGCTAGTGGTGAAGAAAATCATAATGTTGAGTGTGTTGAGTCAATTATAGATACATCGATGATTTTGTATTTTTGAGGTCATTCTGAGGATTACATATACTTCTTTCGTGTCATTTGTGCGGACAATATAATGTTAACATTGAAAAAATCATGCTTATCTAAAGGTTTTATTATAAGCATTTTTAGGTAATATTTTTAAGTGAAGACTTAAAAAATTCTCTGTTTAGTGCAAGTTACATATGCCGGCGATTTTCGAACCTATGATTCTTGCAACTCAGTTGTCATATAAATGTAGATACTTGGGTTTTAATAATTGTGTAGCTAATGTGTCAAATAAAATATGTTTTTTTTTTTTTTAAAGGACGTGCTTAGTTGCTCTATTGTAAAAGATATTGAACAAATGTTGTATACTAAAGTTGTTGGAGAAGAACCATCTATGGGACTTCTGTGTATGATAATTTCTTAAGGGTCAATAGGAGAATTTTACATAATGATTTAAGAACTTTGACATGGAAGTTGAGTAGTGGATGATAGCTGTGGTTTTAAATATCATCCTTCAATGATGCAAAAGAAAAGTGGTGCCCATCCAAAAGTTAATACTATTGAGGAGTTTGTTGATACTATTATAGACGATGTCCTTACTTTTGCAAGATTTATGGAAAATCTGATTACTTGGTCTACCGTTGTGGTATAATCAGATTGGATCAAGTGTTGTCCTTGGACCGATTGAATCATTTTACCTACATCGAAGTTACTCATCTTAATAAAACAACTGCTGATCATGCTCCTTTGTTAATTTATGCCATTAAATCTGTTTCCACTATCCTTCTCAGTTTAGATTTAAAAATGTGTAGACATCATTCAGTCCTGGATTTAGTTAAACAAAATATTTGGCTCCTGTTCTTATATATACATAACCTATGGAGATTGCGGTTAGAACTTGAGATTCTTTTACCCTGATGACATTATGCCACAGAAGCGTTGCTGAAAATATCATATGCTGGGTTAATGGTGCTGGTAAGGTGTTTTCTGAAAGGATGTTTGGTATTGGAATTACTACTGTGGCTGCTTTGTTTCCAGCTGTAGTTCATACTTCTGCGAAAATCTTAAGTCTTTTGAAAATGAAGATGGCGATCTGTTTAAGCTGCAGTCTTTGCTACCTGGTTATGTTATCACACAAACTACTAACATTTCAAATGCTCATAGGCGGAGTGTCAAATCTCTCCTGATTCTAGTTTCAGGTTCAAAATGGCAGGGAAGTTGATGATTATATCTAGGGCATTAGTTCAATTCTAAAACTTCTATAGCATAAATCTATTCCCATTACAGTTTCTCTATTTGTCTGGATAATTTTTCATGCTGCTCTGACTGTTGATGTTAGGATGCAAAGCTTTGCATTCCAGTTGGCTTCAAGGTGTCAGTGTTGTTCTTTCATGTCTTCTGGAATAGTGAAGTGCTTCGAGTGTGTGGCCAGCTCATAATGTTTTTTTTTTTTATGAAGTTGTCTAATACATTTTCTGTCACTCTAGTAATTACTGCTTGGAAAAATTATGTGATGAATGTTAAGCCTGGTCAAATCAGGTATTTGATTCCAATTTGCATTCTGTGGTTTCTATAAGGGAATAGAAATGACTCTAAACATAAGGGAAAAAAGATTTGCGCAAGTAGTATTGTGTGTCAAATTGATAATCAGATTAAGCTGTCGCCTGTAAATAAAAGCCAAGCTGATTGATGATTGGGCTATTAAAGGGAGGAGTTTATTGTATGGTTATTTTTCAATGTGTCCTCCCCCTAGAACTTCTAGAATCACAAGACTGCTAGATGGTGGAAACCTGAAGCTGGTTGGTGAAGCTCAATTTTGATTAAATGGTGATGGGTTCGTCACAGCTCAATGTTAATGGCTGTGCTAGAGGAACTCCAGAAGCAGTTGCTGGTGGCTTGCTTAGAGATAATTCGGGTCATTAAATTTTTTTCCTTTTAATATCTTTTTGGGCACTCAGAAGGCATATTTTGCTGAATTTTCTGCTTTGGCTCATGGATTAAAACTTTGTTTGATTTTGGAATCACCCATTTATGGATTCAAGTTGATGCGCTGTCAGTTTAGAAGTTGGAGCTCAGCCACCGGTTAATGATTTGTTCAGTTTCTATTTGTGCTGACGAATGATAATAAGATTGTGAAAAATAGATTGAGGTGGTTTCAACATGTACCATGAAAAGACATAGCATCCACCACTAAAGCTAGCACATAAATTAATATGAAAAATCTAAAAGGAAAAGATGTGGAATGAGGACAAAATAACAAGCACATCAGCAAAAATACTTGCATAAAACAAAACTATTGTGTTATTTAGCAATTAAAAGGAATTAGGGATTTGAAAACTTCGATCTCAAACTGATGCAAACTCCCCAAGAACAAGAGTAAAGCCAATAAGTATGGTATTGATTCTAGTTAAGCCTAAATAAAGGCTGGCTCAATCTAATTAAAATTCAATGCCTAGCCTAGCTAGTTTATTTAGGTCTGATCTAGACCAAGCCAAAAAAAATGATCAAAATTTTTTATCTAGAATTCAAAAACTTACCTGCAACAATACATCCACAAATGCATAGTTTCATATATACAAATATCAATATACAAATGCACGTGCATACAAATACATTTTGTTTCAACCAAAAGCTATATAGTTCATTTTGATAAAAGCCCAACTAAAACTAAATTCAATTAGAGCTAAAAGCTGATTCCATTTTTTTGTGATGCACAATAAAATTTTTAGCCCAGAAAGGAATAAATGGAGCATTCATAAAGTACTCGCAAAAGAGTTGAGATAGGCCTCTGACGTAGATATTAATGAAGAAAACAAAAACAAAAACAAAAATTTTTTAAACATATATTTATATACACAAAAACATACATCTTATCTATGAATTTTAATGTGGCAAACATCATGAATATCATAAGTAGCAACTCATATTATTATTGCACTACATAAAATGCACATTGCATAATGCGTGGAAATGTTAGCTAATAGAATTGATAGATGGAGGCATAACGAACAAACAATTTTGATCATTACTGTGCATCTGCTTTTCGAGTGCAGATTGAACAATTTAAAACTAATAGCATAAAAAAATATCGGTTAAGTTCACAAAATTATGTATAAATTGCAAATAGCAACGTAATTGCTTGACTAGGATTATAAATAACAATATAAACTTGACAGGAATACACGCTTTAAAACTAAATGAGGTACTCACAAGACTCCCATACTGGTCCAATGCTAGCTTTCTGATGTGATCCTTAATTCCCTTAACAATTTTCTTTCTATCCTGTTGATTAAAAGGAAGAAAAGAAACAGTTCACAGGTACTGAAGAAAATAACCAGAAGTAGCTTAAACTGTTAGCTACTTGTACAAAAGAAATCACCAATATCAGAAATTCTGAAAGAAACTTTTTATAAATTACTAATGGACGGTATCATCATAAAAATAAGATAAACAGAAAGGCTAAATACACAAACCCTCGTAACATACCTTTGCAGTTCCATGCTTGATACAAAAGATGCCAACTTTAAGTCCATCTCTCGTGTGCATCATGTTCACAAGGGGAATTCTCGTCTTCCTTCTTTTGTTTTTCCGTTTACTAGATGCATGAAGGCCGTCATCAGTGACAGACTCTTGAGAGAGAAGAGGCAGCAACTGTTGAATCACATCTGCAGCAGAGGACTTCGAAAAGTGCAAATCAAATTAATTAGAATAGTTATAACGCTAAATAAAATTTACAAGTTATGTTAAATGATTTCATCAAATTGAAAATTATTACCCTGTCAGCTATTGTAAAATACTCTACTAATGTGGCGTGTATGATTGAGTAGTCCACAATCCCCTTTTCTAGAAGTGGTTGAATTATAGAGGTCATATGTTGTAATACCGAAGATTTCTGTAGTTTGAGTTTTGAAATTAAGTCTGCCAAGCTGATAGAAGTGGGATAGACCACATTAACTACCACTAACAAAATAAAGTCCCGCAGAAACAAATAATCTTACAAATCAGACATAAGGGAAAACAAAAATCCGCCTTTGAGATATGCCAACAACTCTTGATTGCAAAGGTAACAACTTGCAAAATAAAGCTAAAATAAAAATGCCAATAAGTGGAGGAAGGGAAAAAAAACTTGAGCATAAAAAAAATGAAGTATAATGAAGATTCTTTTATGAATGGTGAAACTGATTTCGAGCAACTAAACCTATGCTTGGAAACATCATGAAAAGGCTGCATGTAAACAACTCAGAATTGATATGAGCTCAAACCGTATCATGTTCCAAATATAAAACTCAATGTTAATACAGAAACAACCTATGATACACAGATACGAATACGACACGGCACGGATACGGGACACGTTAATTGTTGAAAATATAGGGCATGGAGATGGGTTAGACATGGTATTATAATTTTTATATTTTAAAAATAGTATATAAAAATTGAATAAGTATAATATTAAAAATAATTTAGAAATAATAAGTCATTTAACTAGAATTTATGCTTAAATTGATTAACATTAGAATGTCAAGAGTCGAGCGTCGATGATGTGTTTTAGACATCGAAAGAGGAGACGACAATGTTTTCGAGCGTCGGGCATCAATGTTATGCAGGAAGTATTGGTCGTCGATGTCAAGAGGTCATCTATCATCGATGTTTAGAAGGCATTACTTGTCGTTGTTAAGATGACATCAAATAAAGATGAGTTGTCAGGTTGTGGGTATAGAAATTGCTAGTGTTGAGCATCAATGTCAAGATAGTGTCAGACATTGATGTTGAGATGGTTTTGAAATATCAATGTTGTAATGACATCGATGTTGAGATGGCATCGAGCATTATTGTGAAATCAAAGTTTTGACCCACCAAAAGAGAGATGAAAATGAAAATATTTGATGAATGGGGTTTTGAGTGCGGGCGATTGATTTGGTGATGTGGATAGAAAATAAGAAATTTAACTATTTATATTTAAAATAAATAAAATTTTAAACACAAGAAATTATATTTAAAACAAAAATTTCATAAAAGTATTTAAGACAAGTATATTGGACATGTGTGTCTAATTTGTATTTAATATTTTTTAATTGGACACGTGTTGAATGCGTGTCATGTCGAATACGTGTCAGATACTGCATGCCTCTTTGAGAAGTGTCGATGCATCATAGGATGCAACAAACTTCAAGTTCACTCAAGCTACAATCCCTCTCAATATTGAGCTTGGTTTGGCCTTGAATGTTACTTGAGTTCTTTTGTCTGTGGCCCAAAATATGGTTCAATCTTGACCTTGGTTTGGGGTCATATCTTGCTTGGTTATGGGAACACATCAACCAAACATATGTTAAATTCAAAGAATTGGTTTCTAAAATTATGTTGAACTGGATTGTGAGCTATGTTGATTGTTGATTTATTATCACAGTGTAGCTTCATGAATCATTGTCACTTGATTCTTAGGTCTTTTAGAATCATCTTGATCCATAGTAACTTACATAAAGCTAAGGTCATAGCTCTGAACTCTACTTCTGCACTAGATCTTGCCACCACATTCTATTTCTTGCTCCTCCATGTAGCAAAGTTTCCTCCAAGGAATGTACAATATCCTGAGGTAGATCATCTATCTACTAGTGATCCTACATAACCTACATCATGCATAATCTGCATCAATATACGCTTCTAGGGTTATTTCACATTCTCTTCTAAAGAGAATCCTTTTTTCTATATTCTTCTTGAGGTAGTGCAGTATTCTGTCTATTGCTTGCATGTGAGTCTGCTTTGGATTTTACATGAGCTGACTGACCACGCTTACAATAAAGATTATATCTAGTATGGTGTGGGAAAGGTAGATTAGTTTTCTCACAGGTCTCTGATAAGCTCTCTTATATACGTTTGGATTCTCTTAGCTTCCCCTAATTTGAGATTTGGCTCTACTGGTGTTGGTGTCGGTTTACAAGCAAGTTTACATGTTTCTTTAAGAAGATCAATAATATATTTTTATTGTGAAATGAAAATCCTCTGTTGGAGTGGGTAACTTCAATTTCAAGAAATATTTCAATCTACCAAGTTTTTTAATCTTAAATTCCTTGGCAAAATATTTCCTTAGAATCACATTCTCATTTTCATCATTCTCAATCAATATGATATCATCCACATAAATCAACAAAATTGTGACTCCCCATGAGTTTAAGTGCTGAAGAATAATGTGTGGACCCCTTGGCTTTATTGATATCTATTAAGTAAGCTCTAAGTGACTGATTTAGCCCATATAGAGCCATTTTTAACTTATATAGTTTGTTACCCCCAAAATTCTCCTTAACAGCTAGTGGAATCTCCATAAACATTTCTTCCTCTAAGTCTCCATACAGGAATGCAATTTTGACATCCAGCTATTCCAGATGTCAGTTATAATTAGCAACTAGTGAGAACAAGATCCTCATGGTGTTCATCTTGGTCACATGTGCAAAAAAATCCTGGTAGTCAATATCGTAAGTCTGAGTGTACCCTTTTGCTACCAATCTTGCATTATTCCTAAAACATTTCACAAAGAACACCCATTTGAAACTGACTGGGTTTTTTCCTACTGGTAGATCGATGATCTCCCAAGTATTGTTCTTCTCCATGGCCTGTGTTTCATCTTTCATGACACTTTTCCAATTCTCTTCAGATAAGACTTCAAATTATTGTTAAGAATATGAATATCATTTAGTGTAATCAGGAAATTTTTGTGTAAATGTGATAAATTATGGAAGGATATAAAGTTAGTTACAGGGTACACGGGAGATTTTTTAGGTGAACTTGTGTTTACCTCAATTTCAGGAGATGGTTCAGATTCTTAGATCTGATATAGAGCATAATTTGGATTTGTACGCCTGGAATATACATTTCCAAACCTCATGTTATCCGTAATAGCTTTGTCCTCAATTTCCTCAGCTTTAATTTCAGGTTTAGGAGGATTGGTTTAAGGTGGAGCTAGAAGGTCAAGGGGACTTCTCATCTTCCTTAGTTTCAGTCTTTCCCCCAAAGATGAGGTTTGGTAAAATAATTTTTTTGTTTATCAAAAGCAACATCAACAGATGGAAGGATTTTCTTGGAGGGGTGATACCATTTATAGCCTCTCTGGATGGATGAATATCTAACAAAGATACACTTAAATGTTGTTGGATCTAATTTTCCTTTATTTTTGACTGTAAATGTGAACATAGACAATGCACCCAAAAATTTTAGGTGTGACGTTATTATGGGTTCGGATTTCAAGGTAAAAAGAAGATAGAATATTCATTAGTATTTTTAGTCCCAAGATTTTTAAGGTAGTCGATTTATGAGATATATGACAGTCAGAAGGGCTTTCTCCCAGTAGGATTTGGGTACATTGTGGTGAAATAAAACTGCACGTGTAAAGGAAAGAAGGTGACCTTTTTTTTTTGCAACTCCATTTTGTTGCGGGGTGTGAATGATAACTTTTTTTAGAGTAAGAGAATAGGGTTTGGTTAAATAAATCTTTGGCATCGTCAGACTGAAATTTATTTATTTTTACCCCGAATAGGTTTTGGATCATGATGTGAAAAATGAGGATAGTGCTAACATCAGATTTATTTTTAGAAGAAAGATCCAAGAGACTCGAGTATGGTCATCAATAAATGATACAAATCATCAAGACCCTGAGATGTTAGGGATTTTTGTGGGTCCCCAGATATCACTATAAATAAGGTAGAAGGGATTATACATCCCTCATTTTTGTTTGAAAAAAAAACGTGTTTATGTTTGGTAACTCATAAATTTCACAATAAAATTATTCATTTTTCAATACAACAACAATAACAACAACATCAAGCCTTTATCCCACTACGTGGGGTCGACTACATTAATCCTTTTTCTCCATTGTGTCCTATTAAGAGTCAAATTCTCATTTAAATCTAATAAAGAAATATCATTTCTGATATTTTCTAACAAAAATTTTGGATACATATTTTTTAAGACATCGAAAGATGGATGCTCTAATCTAAAATGATGATGCCAAATAGTAAATTTTTTATTAGATATGGATAACATGGAATAACTATTATTGATAATAATAGGTGTGTTCGGCTCTTCCAGGTAGTACAGTCCATCTTTCTCCTTAGCAAGTCCAATATTCTTCCTCGATTCCTGGTCTTAAAATAAGCAACAAGTAGGGTCCATAATACTTAGCAATTATAGTCACTAGTAAGTTTTTGTATAGAGATTAGGTTTGTGGATAATTGAGGTAGATGGAGTACATTTTCAAGAGTAAGAGAGGAAGATAGGAGTATGTCTCCTTGGTTGGCTACTGTGATAAGAGAACCATCAACAGTGATGATTTGCTTATTACTCGGGCACGGAGTGTAATTGAAATGGGTAATGGAGTGTGTATATGATTTGTGGCTTTTGAGTCAATGATCCATAAATCTTTCAAATGATTTTTAGAGAGACTTAATATAATGGATATGAAAAACTTACCTGAAAGTGCATAAGAAGAAGATACAGATGATTTTTTAAGTGATACCAAGAGTTGTTTTAACTTCTCAATATCTTCTTTGTTAAATTCTCTAAAAGATGGACTGTGTTTCTAAGCTAGACTGAATTGTTGTAGTGTTAGATTGTGATGCCCCTCCAACCCCCCCCCCCCCCCCCCCCCCCCCCCCCCCCTTTAATCCACTTCTTTAATTTCACTCCTTATTTGAAGGTTTTTCATATAACTTCCAGCATGTCTCTTTTGTGTGGCATGATTTCTTGCAATATTTCTTCAAGTTCGCCGGAGAGAGGCGGCGCCGACGGGAGAGGCGGCGGGAAGGGAAGCCGACGTGCGGGAACCCCTCTGTTTCGCGAACACAGGCTACGGGAAGGAAAATTTCGGGATAACCTGGAAGCCGTGCGGGATTAAGGGGAGAAAAGGCTTCATTTTAAGTGGTTGGGACCGGTTCTATGAGGCGTACGTCTCACCCAGAATTGCGCAATTGCGCCTCTGAGGCGCGCCTCTGACCAGGTGAGGCGTACGCCTCTGCCAGGAGAGGAATTGCGTAAGCCTCGAGGCGTTTTTGGGTCAAATTGCGCATAGGCGCGCCTCTTATTGCGCAATTTTAAACAGAGGGATTTCCTCAACACGAATGAGAGAAAATGGTCTCATTTAATAAAGGTGTCTCTTCTTTGTCAAGGATCTGAACTCTAAACTGATCAAACTCCATATTTAATATTGCAAGAAAGTCATACATTCTATCTTTCTCAATAAAGCTTTTTAAGATAGCAACATCTTCCGGATATTTGGTCTCTATGCATGTAACAATTAAGTTCTTGCCACAAGCTTTGAAGGAGAGTGGCATATTCAGTCACAGTCTTGCTTCCTTGTTTTGTGCTTCCCACCTTGACCTTCATTTTGAATATTTAAGCAACATCCCGAGCTTTTGAGAAAATTTGTTTGCCGGCAAAGGGTAGCGATGAAAGCTATATTAATCAAGCATACAAGGTGTAGGGAAACAATGAAAGTTGTTTGGGTTACAGATAGGATAGCAAGGGAGTAATAACAATAAGGGAAGGCCTGCAATAAAGGCATGACAAAGCAGCCTGGAACAATAGCCCTCAGAATTCCAACAACGATAATGAAAGCCGGAGGATTATGTATCATTAGGCTCTGATACCATGTTAAATTCAGAGAATTTGAGAGGGAAAAGGCTTAATTTTATTACACAAAACTATCCTTATTTATAGATATATATAAGGTCTCTTCATAAAGAAACAAATAACTATATAATCATGCATAATTGCAAAATATAATCCTTCCCAAATCAGCCACCCAAATATGTAAGGAGATCGACATGATCCAGGTGAGCCTCCCACAAATCCCCATGTTGGCCATAGGATCAAGAGCCAAGGGATGGCTGGGATTTAACAAGGAGATCAGCATGATCCAAGTGAGCCTCTCGCGGATCTCCATACTAGCCGTGAGATTAAGGGCCAAGCGACGGCTAAGATTTAACAATATTAAGCTAAAAATCAACCTGCATAAGTAGAATTAAGAGTAAGATACATAATGTCCAACAGGCTTGGTGTGATTACAAGAATCCTGTGTTCACCTATTAGCCCATGTGTTTCATATGTGGATCACTATTGATTTAATGATTACAAACTTTATGTGGTGTCATTTAATGTGATTTGCTAAGTGCTTCTACATAAATCTTTTAAGATAGCAACAATCAAAATCAAGACCCGAGCTTTGCCAAAAGTCTAGACCGTTTAGTTTCATTGTAATATTGATTGAGTTTATATTTAGCTAAAATATGCAAAAATAATATTGTTTATAAATTTAACAAAAATATGCTAATGTGTTGCTTATTAATAAGTACAACAAAACAAATAGTGAAAACACTTTTACATGTTAAATACAAAACTATTTTGTAAAACCAACATTTTCAAACACCATCGCATGGTATTGTACCACTCAATCAAATAATATAATTTGAGTATTGAACTATTTTTTTGAACTTAGCATATATTTTGGTTTACAGTAGATTGAACTAAACGATCAAATCATACAGTACGATATATATCATATAATATGATGATGATCAAATAATATAATCATAAATTTGATCTTGTCATTAAACTAGTCGTTGCAACATAATTAATGATTTAAAAGTTTATGAATATTATTGTAATATGCTAATTGTATAGTACAATCTTCTCTAATCCAATCAATTTTGAGAGCTGATCATGCATATGATCCAATTGTATCGTATGATCCAATTGTTAATATGATAAACTCGAATAATGATTCGTATGGCTTTTATCTTATGGTTTCTAATGGTTAATAAGGTTAAGATTAATAGCTATATGCTAGTATTGGACATATTTCACAGTGCTTAAGCCTATTTATCTCAATGAAATTCATTGATTAAAAGACTAATGATTAATGTGCTCATATGCCTAACTTTTTAGGTCATTTGAAGAGAAAATTTAAAGAAAAGCTAAGTGTTTATCATCATAAAGGTCTCCTTGGCTCTTGTGTTCATCATCATAAAATCAAATTTTCAAAAATACGGAGCACCTTAATGCCACAGAGGACAAATGATGGATTTTCCTGCATGTAGCTTCGGGATGATTACATATTAGGAGGCATGCACATGATGTGCTAAATAAGTGAACTAGCAAAACACAAAGAACGAGATGATGTGGCCCCACACTTTGCAAAAATATCATATTCATACCGCAACAAATATGAATGGGTAAAAACTCCAAATAGTTTGTGGAATTTTCTATAACACACTGAAGTAACGCCCAAAACAATAACCTATTAAATTTGCATCCTAGTGATCACTAATCATACTTGAGTAATCAGAAAACACACACAAATTAGCTATACATGCTGAGGAATTCAGATACCAAGAAAAAAAGTTCAACCATTTTGCATCCATTAAATGCAGAGCATGTTGCACACTAGTTGAAGCTAACAAAATAGGATGATGCAAGCAGAAGCTAATGCATGAAAAAAAGCCTTCATGGCAGATAATATATCGTTGAATCTATAATTCACAGCTAAGAGTACAAAACTGATGCGCAAGCCATTGGAAAAAATGTATAGCGCAATTACCTTCCAGCATTTGTCAAGGTAAGGTCTTTGAATAATTGAAGTTCAGTCGAGTACATTTCCATCAAAAGGCGTTGTCTTTGAGACCCACTTGCCAAATGATACGCATGCTCAACAACTGCAAAGATAAAAACAAGAATTTAGTAGATGCAATAATAGTTAGCTATTGTAACTCCAAAAATTAAGGAAAATTGGAAGATCAGACACAATGTTGCCTAAGTAATAGATTTTTCCTGCCGCCATCATAATCAGTTAGAGAGAAAAAATAAACAGCAAGAAAAAAAAAACACTAGCGCCACTGCCTAAAAATAATGGGAGCAATAGCAACAAAAAATTTGAAGGAAGAATTAAAGAACTGAAGAGGATGATTTCTCATATCTTTTGATAACAGCACGTCTTTTGTAGCAGCAAAGATGGACATTGAACTCAACCTCAAAGGTGAGCACCAGTAAGAAACTCCACTAGCTCAAAACATACAAGGATTCCAATTAAATAAGATGATTCGAGTCAAGATGGATAGCTAGTAGCCAAGTACTGTTTTTAGACTTATAGTCCAATACTGACTAATAGCAACCCACTTTAAAACATAGTTTTAAAGATTTGCTACCTATTAGCAGTTTAATAGATGGGAATCACAATGAATACCACAGAAAACTTATTAGAGAAATTATTGATTACATGAGCATCAATGTCCATCATATATATTATGATTAGCTCATTAGTGATTTCATCAGGTATTATTAAACAGTTTGCTAGGTGTTCCTTTTAGGGTTTTTCATAAAGAAATGTCCACTAAGCAAGTTTGTAATACTTGCAATTTAATAGCAAGCTTAAGATGATGAATTCAATGCATTCAATGGCACAGCGTGAAGATCCAAAGTTCATTAGTCGAGTGTGTCAATTGAGGTGCTATTCATTGTAAATTTAGTGAGTAGAATTCAACCTAGAACTCAAGGATAATAAACACAAGATAAAATTAATTTGATTTTAACTATATATACTAAACACATTTTTCAATAATATATATATATATATCTGTGTGTGTGTGTGTTTGCGTTTGCGCACGCGTGTGCGTGTTATATTTTTAGTAGAAAGGAGAAAAAAACTAGAATTATGATTGTACTATTCAAAATCATTTTGAGACATTTTTTTATGAAGAAATCAAGGAGTTCATCCTGTGCAAATCCTTTAAAAGCAATATTTTGGGTGATTGCCTAGCCGGTCTTTCAATCTTAGTTATTATGCATTGAGTTTCAATTCAAACTTTGTACAATCAAGCATAAAAATCTTGTAGCTTCATACACCAAAGCTTTATGGAACTTGGAAGGTATAAACTTTGTAATCCATAATTTCATATTTGTTTAGCCCATAAAGAAGATTAGTGTTGCCGTTGTGGTAGCCAAATGTAGGAGAACACAAAGTGTAGACCATTGTGTCATTAAGGAGGAAGTTTCTCACGTATAAAAAGAGAGTTAGTGGAATCTTAAGCAAATAAGGTGCTTAGGCATAGATATTGGCTGATTAGATACCAGACAACATAAAAATCCTATCTGACTTCACTCTCTAAATAAATTTAAATTCTTGCACATTAAAATTCTTGCTTAGTTGAAATGTCAAAGCGATGATTTGATGCTCACATTCTTATACATAAGTTTTTCAATAGATCTCATTCCTTGTGCTTTATGTTTTGTTAATCACAATTCGCATTATTTAACATTATAATCATCATCTTTACTATAAGAATACTTTATGATTACGTCTCATATTGCCTGGTGTTTGATGAATTAAGAGATTCATAAGCATGCATGGTTGAATAAATCCAATACATTGAGTTTGTTGCTCATTCATATGTCCTAACATTTGATTCAATAACATAAGACACTTATTGGGTTACACTTGTAGGTGAATTACATAAGTTTACAAATTTGGTTTCTAAAACCATTGAGTGTGCTATCACTTCTATTGAGTTAACACTAGAACACTTGTTAGATTTTAGAACTTTGTTACAAGTTGTACGCATTAAACCCTATTTTCATTATTGGCTTTGAATTTGAATATTTATAGGTTATTCCCTATTTCTTCAATACATAGGGACCTGTCCGGATCATTGAATGAAGCCAAAAATAGAAGGGTTGAATGAAATGAATTCAATTTCTACCCCACCTTTAGATGTAGGAGAGGTTCAAATAGACCAATCACCATATCCATAACTATTAGTAGCATTGATTCTATTATATTTTATTATTTTTATTATTATCTTTATGTTGGTTTTCATTTTGAACTCAAGGACAATACAATTTGGAATCAAGAGCATCAATATCAAAAATATATAATGAGCTAGAATTTTTGTTAAAAGTAAGATCTATAGTTTCACATCACCCAAGTAGGGTCTATAGTTTCACATCACCAGTACCATCTCACATTGTTAAGCCATTAAAGCCCAAGTCAAAACAAATATGGACAGCCATCTTTTAAAATAGAGGGTTGCTCCATCTTCTATCAACTTCATTCAATCAAATAAAAGGCATTTGAATTTTCCAGATAATTATAAAGTTAAAAAAAAAAAAACTAACAATGTATTTATTATAATTTGACGATCCTTTGAATTCCTTGTCTTCACCTTATGTGTAATATTTATAAATACCATGAAATCAATAAAAAAATGAAATTGAAATTGAAGTAGAATTTTTTTTCGAGAAATCTTTGTCTTTTTCCTTAGGGAATACTTGATGGCTAACCATTTATCCTTATTTTGGTGGTTTTGGAGATCCCTCTTTAGTGAGAGATTTTAGACTTCTTATTTTTATTTTATTTGTGAGGCTTCTTTTTTATATACTTCTCATCCATCCAACTCCTTTAGTGATTTGGAGCTTCTCTAAGTTCGCACATTAGCGCCCGAATTATTTACAAAATAGTCGAGCTACCCAAATTATGTCCAAACTCAATCAACAAATTCTCCTTTTCAATCTCTATACGAAAACCTTCACAAAACCACCCTAAATAACTCAAGATCCTTATTCCTAACATCCGTAGCTTCCCAAAGAGTGTTCACACCACTCATAACTCCAAATCTAACTTTCCCTTAAGCTTCCCAATAAATCAGCCACAACATAAACAATCAATATCCAAATCTTTCCTTATATGTCTTGACCACCCTTTGATCTTCCACCTCCCAAAATCTACAAGCCCTGCAATCACTCATAATACATTCCCCTACATCTCTTAAAATAAAAAAATAATAATCACCACCAAACACACAACCCTAGCACTTACAACTGCAAGTTTTAAAGCCTTTAGTTAGCAACTTCCTAACCGCTCAATGTAGCCCATACATTCCTATTAATGTTGGCTTGCCTGAAAATTCATGCTTTGGTAAAAGCATGCAAATGCAAAATCAAACTATGGAGCAAAACATAGAGACCATCTCTAATACACCGTTGTCAAGAATGCCTATGTACTAAAACTCAATCATCAAGATTGACTCATGCAAAAGTGCAAGCGATCAAGGAGCGTTCAATACTATATACAGTCACAAGTAATATACTGAAGCTATGAGTTTCAGGATTTACAGAAGGCTCCTAAAAATGAAATTCTATCCAAGCTCTATATATATGATGAAATTCTCAAAATTCAATTGTTCACAAGAAGTTTCTAAGATCTCCTATAGACTTTTTAAGGTATTGGGACTTCATGTTCATTATTTGAATGGGAGCACATATGGAGCACATATAATCAAGTTCATACAAAAAAAGTAGAAATCCTCTAACGACCTTAAGGATGAACTCTTTAGCGTACATCATGTACAACAAGAGAATTAAAAAAAAGATATTTAAAAAAAGGTTGAAGAATAACAAGGATCCCTTACTATGTCATGATACACCATGAAATGGTGAATGATTTTTGGATGATGATAAGGAGGTCACACCATCTAATTTACAACAAGGAGATCTAAATGCTAATTTTTGTGATGATTAGGGTATAAACAATAGAAGTTCATCTAACATTAGGGTATAAACAATAGAAGTGCATCTAACACAAGCCAACAATAACAAGAAATAAAAAGAAACAATATTTATAGAAATTGAAGTATTTGAAGTTGTCACAAACTTTATTTATTATCATTGATTAGGAAAGCAGTATATGGATGAGATTAAAGAGGAGGAAGATTAGGAGAACTTAGACTCTATTGAAGATGAGGTAAGGGAAAAATTTATTTATTATGATGACAACTCCAATGAAGGTCTCCTGAGTGATACGAGTGCTAAGAATTTTTTATTACTTGTTATATTCTTCATTGGATCATTGGATGTTGCCATTTTGAACATAGGAGAGAGGAAGAAAATTATTTTGCTAAATTTATTTGAAGTTTTTCTTTGATATGATGTATGTTATTTTTATTTGATATATTGTATTACTTTAATCAATTGATGTTTAGATCACACTTCTACTTTGCACAATTTATAACTTGATAATTTGCAGTTTGTGTAATTTGTTACTTGATATACACACAAATTGTCACTTCTTACCATGTTAGAATGTTAATATGTCATTTTTAATATGTTAGTAGGTTATGATACTAATATATTACTTATTACCTTAATTTTGACTTTATGCAATTTTTAAATTGTGGGCTTACACCTCAAAACATCTTGAGGGTTACGCCTCGCCTCATGGATGAAAAATGTCTTAACACCCAATCGTGCAATTTTAAACCTTGAGTTAGAAGAACCTAAGATCGGATTGTTTGTAGGCCATAAAAACATATGCTTTATTTCATGCATAAGCACACAATCATAAAAGTATGTATGCATCTAAACTTTGTCCATACATGCTCACAGCACATTTTCATTTCAAGTCTATATTCCACAGTGACAAGCAGTTACAAGAGTAAAAAAGCTTTAAATATACATACCAGCTGATCCAACAGTATGTCGAATTAGAAAGCTAACATGCCCATGGAGAGATGAGATAAATCCTTCCAATTGTTTCTTGTTTGCTGTAATATGGCACAAGAAAAACAAAAATCACATTATTTTGTAATAAAAATGAAGGACTCAAATCTATAAAGGAAAAAAAAATTGGAAAATAAAATCATAGAGCTTGGCTCATACCAACATCCAAGAGTTTCTTTACAAGATGAACTGCATACTTCTTACGTGAAAGAGTTAGAAGATGTGGCCGAAGTTCTTCAAAAACAACATTTCTTTCCTCTTGAGATCCGTATTTAATACAAGTCTAATTGGGGGGGATAAATCAATGCAAACAATTTTATTAATTATCTTGTAAGATAACATTAAGCCATAAAACAACATCTATTTTACACATTTCCAAACCAGATCAGTTCGAACTAGAATCAAACTTATAAAAAACGCTAAAAATAACAAAGTCTCACTTGAAGCACACGAGCAGAGACATGGGAACTAGCAACTTCCAAAAGCTTTCCGTACATCTTCTGCAGGGCTTCACTAACCAACCTAAAGCAAGATAACTATTAATAGAGAAATTTGAGGTAAGAATGAATCAAAGAACCTACTTCGATCGCTCTACTTTTCCAATGCTATAGCATCTCATCTTTTCCCATAGTGAAGCTAGTTCCTGTCCAACATAAATAAAGGAAAAATAAAACCTTTTAACATATATTAAAAGTTCAAAATTAACATAGAACATAAACATTTTTATCAACATTCCGCCCATGTCAAGTCATGGACTGGCAAATAAATAATCTTCAAGGACTATTTGAAAGTTTGAAAAAACATTAAACGTGAACAACTTTCTTCAACCCATTATCCATATAGCATGGTTTTAGCAGATAGAAAATGCATTTATTGATAACTACAAGTAAAAAACAATTAAGAGAAGATTGCAAAAATAAAGGAAATGCATATGCAAGAAGAAAAACCATTTAATCATCATGTTTTCAAACAGCATGAATGATCTAAATAAACCAAAAAATTTAAATAATAAATTAGAGCACTCTATCATACTTTCTCCAGGATGTAGTTTGGCTTTCTCCTTATCTTTCTTGCTTCCGCTTTTTCCTGCATGGAAGCCGTCAATTTTAAAGTGAAACTCACTTCGCCATTCAGAAGTTGAAAAAATCGGTCCTTAAGCAGAGCCGAGTCATTTAAATAAAACTCATTTCTTTCAAACAGAAAGGTGTATAAATAGAACAAATTAAATGATTGATCAAGATAAAAAACAATACCTTGGCTGCCAAGCGACGCTCTTTTGGAGTATTGTCTTCCTTCTTCTCAGGAACTGCGACGTCCTTTTCAGTGGGTTTCAAGTGTTTCGCTCTCACGATCTTATTGAAAGGTATCGCCCCTGCGGATTTTGATTGTTTAAGGAACCTAGGCTTCTCTCCTTCCTTTGCCGTGGCGGTACCCCGCTTCCTTTTCTTCGAACTGCCGAGGTCTCCTGCGGAATCCATGATTTCTCCCAGAGCAGACCCATGTTTCACAGATTGGTTAGTCTTCAAAGGTCTCGCTTTCACCTTCTTCTTGAAATGTTTCCGCTCTGTTAGCTTTGTTTGATCGGATACCCTGCGCTTCGCACCTCCCTTGGCCGCCGAGGACTCCCGCACCCTTTTCTTCGAATCACCGAGCTTGCCCACCGCCGCCATCAGTGTTCCAACCGTAGAGCTCGCCTCTGCTTGCCTCTCGCTTACTCGATTATTTACCGTAGGGTTTTTCTCTAAAACTCGAAAGAGAGAGAGATAATCTCACAAAACCTTTTTTGAAAGTTAAATACTTATTACACTGGTTATATATTTATATATACTATATATTTTTAAGTTGAGAAAAAAAAATATTTTTATTTAAAAACAATGCTCTGTTTATTCTTTTAAAAAAAAACTTTTTATTTAAAAATTAATACATTAAAAAAGTAAAAATTGAGTTTAAGTTTGAAAGAGAGAGGATTAAGATACTAAGAAGCTGACATTATTCATGGGGTATGTTCAAGACATTGTTGAGCATGAGATATACTTTTGAACTTCTATTTCTGATTTCAATTCCAATAATTTTATAAATATTTATGGATAAAAATATATTTTCTTGAATTTCATAACATTTTAACCGCAGAACTTTTAATATATCATCTTACGTTTTATTTTAAATATTTTGGCTATATAAAATCAATTTTTTACCAATTGATTTTTCCTACACAATTTTTTTAGTATATAACTAAATTAAGGATTTTCAATAAATCTCAATAGTTATATAAAATTCTTAAATTGTTCATATGAGTATCACTTTGAAGTTAAAAATTGAAAGGAAAATGTTAAGTATAATATTATACATATAATGTGACTTTTATTGGTAATATTAGACTATGAAACCATGAATGCAATAGTACCTAACTATCAATTATAGTAGCTCATATATCAATTAGAGATGTTATGACATGTGAAAGTGAGCTATTTTATATGTTACAAGGGTCTTATATATTTTATTCAGACCTTATCTATCTGGTATGGATGTGAGAGGGATTCTGACCTTATTTATTAAAAATGAGTGTGGGAGATAACATGACTCTATTCTATTCTGATCCTGGCCTTACTTTCTATAAGCGGATGTGGGAGTTTAAAGGGAGGCAAATATGAAAGTGGAGTTATAAGCAAGCATCGAGACATGTGCATTATAAGCATTGCATTACATATGTATTAATAAATTGAGTGCGTGTAATATTCTAAATTGAAAATTAGAAATTCCTAAATTTGTATATGAACCCTCGTAAAATATGACAGCCAGATACAAGTAAATTTCTAATGGAAAACATTATGAGATATATATGAAATTTTTATGAATATGGCTTACAAGTGAGTGATAACTTTGAAAATAAGCATACACTGAAATCCTTGGAAATTATGTTTTACTAGTACTTCATTTATTCTTTACAAGTTACTGCCTTTTTAAATTATACTGTAATTTATTGTTTTAACTCGTATATTGATATATGTCATGGATTAGGAAAAGAAGTATACTTGGTCAATTGTGCTCACTATATTCTTTCAAACAGTTCAGGAAAAGGGAAGGGCCCATGAGTGGATAAGGTTTAGAGACAGTTTCCTTAAGGTCTAAGTAGGAAGGTACTATTTAATAATCCTATGTTTGTTTTATTGCCCACTGATGAATTTTTGGTAGTTAGTCAAATCTGTAGATGTGAAATTGAGATTGTAAATAAGAAGTTGAAATTAGAGTTAATAGAATTGCCTTAATAGGAGTTTGATGTAATAGTGTGCATGTATTAGTTAAGCAAATATCAGGCTCATATTGATTGCAGCAATAAGAGGGTAAGTTTATGTGTAGATGGGTAAGTATTTTATTTGTTTGGTGTTAGGAGTGCCTTATATTCTTTAATCTTTGTATTGCAAGTAGATAAAGCTTGGAGGAAAGGTAATTTTATATTTTTGGCATATGTAAGAGATATGAATAAATTAGCTAAAATTCTTGAAGAAGTTTACTAGGCTAGTTGTGTTCACTTCAAGAAAAGGGAAGGGGTCGACATATTAGATAAGGTATAGAGGCAAGTTCCTTAGGGTTCGAGTAGGAAGGTACTATATATTTTGTAATCCAATATTTTTATTATTTTGATGTATAAAAAAGTGTTAAATTGAACTATTGAATATATATATTTTAATGAAAAAAATATTCATATTTCTTTATTATTTGTATTTTGTAGTAGCTCTAATTGTCTTTGTTGGTGGCTAAGTTGTATAATTATAGGATTAGGAATTCAATCTTTCAATTAGAACCTAGGGCGTCACAACTATCTTTTATATCTTATATCATTTTATTTTTGTATGGTGTCAATATAACTCTACCAAATTAATTGCATTTAAGATTGAAACACTTGTGATGATTTGAAAACTATATCAAATTCATATCTAATAATCATTTCAACTATTCATCACTTTAAAACACAAGTAATTTATTTATTCATATTATGAAGATTTTAATTATATTGCTTGTTATATCATATGCTGTTAAAATTTTGTAAAAGTTTTGATCAAACATATTTTTCCTTTTCCTTGTGTTCATCTCCACTAATTTTTTTATTTTAAACTTTTATGGTTCATATAGATTCTATTTTTAATTTTATTATGCTTGTTGTCATCAGATATAATTCTATTACCAACACTTTCTGTGACATCATTAATTTATATTTATGATACTTACATCAATACGTCATAACATAAATCAACCTTTTTTATAAATTTTGGAAAAATCTTGATGTTCTTCTGCTATATTATAAGGAGTCAAGGAGATGGCTTCGCCTTTTCTACACTAAGAGTTCGTTTGAGATTACAATAGCTTTTTATAAAGATAGTCGTAAAAATGTTGTGGAGAAAGCAATTTTTTGAAGGCTGCTATAGAAAACATCTTCCTAACATAAAGATTTATTGCAAATAGTGAAAAAGCCTCTAACAAAAATTATAGTTACATCCTGAAAAACAAAGCAATGAAAAAAAGTATTCCAAACAAAGCCTTAAATGTTGTCTTCATAAATAGGGATATAGCTCATTTATACATTAAGCACTATCATTGTTGTTTTGAATTTTCTAATTTTATATTAAACTGGATTACATTATAGTGTGCATAACATCCAAGCTTTTATGAGTTGAATCATTAAAACTGATTAAATTTTTTACACTTGTAATATGTTAGAGCCAAATAACCAAATACTAATCTCAAACATTATATATGTTCACCATTTAATAAATGTAAAGTTATGATCAAAATGATCATATATTTTTTTGAAAAGAGCATAAGCTTTATAAAATAGAAAAAGAAGTAAAGATCAAACGCATACAAGGAACTAACTAAAGATTCCTTCTTTAATAAATCTACAAAAGAAGAAGGAATCTTATCAAGCAAAAGATCATCCCAAAAGAAATCAGAGAACATCCCAAAGTTAGCACATAAGTCCGCTAACTTGTTACAATCTCTCTTAATGCAATTAAAAATAACAAACTTAAAATTATCAATAAAGGAAATACTTTCAATACCTTTACCTCCTTTCCTTATAGCTTTATGAATGAATTTGATGATATTTGCATTGTCACTTTCAATAATGATTCCTTTGAATTCATGATTCCAATCCTTGATGATATCTTTGATAGATATTATAGCTAGAAACTCAAGATAAGAGACTCCCGGTTTTTAGAGAGAGAAAAAACGTTCATTTTTTTCAAATTTTCAACTCCCGCATTTTTTGTTCTCCACCGATGACGGTGGATGGCCGTCGGCCTCCACCATCTGACGCTGCTGAAGGTGGTCGGAATTTAACAAATATTATTGGAAGGGGAAAAGATACTAGTAATTGCCGTCTTCTGAATCAAACTGAGACCTCGGAGATTGAAAACCATGAATCATCTCTGTCTTCTGCTGTAATGGTTAAATCAGTGCAAAAGGGGGTGGAAAAGAAGCTGTCGTTTGGTAACAATATTCAATCTGGCCATTACTCTGAAAGAAAGCATCAAGGTCCTCTGGTGATAAAGGAGGTTTCAGATGTAACTCCCAAAATGTTAAAACATGTGAATGGCAAACATAAGGCTATTTCCTCTGATAATTTGGATTTTCTTACTCCTAAGACTCGGAAATCTACTGATACGTCGGATAATAATGCTTCTACTTCGGGGATGAAAATTTTTGTTAACCGATTCGAAAATTCGAATGCAATCCCTGGACTCTGTCGCAGCGCGATAAATGAGAATTCCCTGAGTTTGGTTAACAATAATTTACATTCTGGATTGGATGCAAATAGAGTCTCGGAAGTAGGAAAGGTTTTCGAGGAAATGCCTAATACCAAAGCAAATTTGGGGAAGGTGAATCCATGGAGTAACAAACCTTACATTAAATTGAATTTTAATGTAAAGGATGTGTTTTTGTCTGAAGATGGGAAGGCAGTAAGGCTTTATGAGGATATGGAAGAGTTAAATGTAAAAAAACTTTCAAAATCATTGGTTATTAAAATCTTTGGTAAAGATTTACCATCTCACATGGTGGCATGGGAGCTTAGAAGACAATGGAACCAATTTGGTCAATTCCACTTCACTACTTTGGGTAAAGGATGGTTCCTATGTTCATTCTCATCAGAAGAGATGACAGAAGGTGTGCATTCAGGAGGCCCTTGGTTCGTTAACGGGCATATAGTAGGAATGGAGAAGTGGTCACCAGAATTTTCTACTTAATCTAATAAGGGTCTATCCTCTCCAATTTGGATTAGGATGCCACATCTACCATTAAAATGTTGGGATGAGAAGAATGTAGCATGTATAGCCTCAAGAATTGGAGTACCATTAATGCTAGATGGTAATATGTTTCAATGGGGAAGAAGGGAGTTTGCCAGAGTATGTGTAAGGATAAGTCTTGACCAACCCCTCCCATTAGGCGTTTGGGTGGACAGCATTGCTGGAAGGTTTTTCGAATTGGTGGAATATGAAAAGGTGTCTAATTTCTGTTTTGATTGTGGGAAGATTGGACACATGGAGAATGAATGTGATTTGAAAATTATTAATCAGAAAGTCTCAAATAATCTTGAAGACGGTATTATGAAGCATGATATGGGAAAAGCTCAAATGGTTGTCAAAGAACCTAATTATGGTCCATGGATTATGGTCAAGAACAAAAAGTGGAGAAATTTCAAAATGGAAAACATAATTATCAATTCATAAACTGTCAGATATGTAAAGAAAACTGTTATTCCTGAAAGGATTGAACAAG